GTTGTTTGCTACTCCAGAGGATCGCGCGCTCATAGGGGGCTATCCAGACCCATCGCTTGTGACGGTCGTTGCTGCTGTCATCGCCATTCCTGTCCGTCATGCCAAACGACTTCCGTCTTCTGACATATTTGAACATCCATTCTCCAACCATCGTCTTGGCAATAGCATCAACCACACTCGTCGACTGATTCGAGCTTGTACTCGCAGGCCGACCTGGCAGATCGTCTATGTTCGCCATCGTTGTCGACCGTTGCGACCGATCTGTCTTCTTGGGGTTGCTGATAGAGTTGCGCGGCAGAGGAGGTAAATCAGGGCTGTCAGGTGCTTGAGTTGGGGGCATGAAGGGTGGAGGAGACCGGCTTGTGCGCCGCTGGCTTCTCTACGCGAGATTGCCGATGGCGGACGGGCTTTTCGGATGCTGTTTGCCCGATAAGGACCACGACTTGAACCTCGCCTGTGAATTCCCCCCTCGTTACTTCTCATAGGAGTTTACGCCGCGGCCCTCGCTCGGGCTACTGGTATTAACAGGCTTCCTCGAAACTAGCACGTTTTTGGAATAGGGAAATGGCGGTTCCGCAGCGTCCCGTAGTAAAGCTTGGGGTGTTCTTGCCAAGGAGTCACGGTGGGATACGATGCCGCTTCTGTATCAGAGCAGCCCTGCGCATGCCATTTGCCTTGGAAGCGGTTGATCGTCCTGAGCGCCTGGAAGCAGTTCGAACCCAGGCTCAAATCGCGGCTATCGCGCTGATGGAAAATGCTGACAGAGTCAAGACAATCTGGAGTGTCATTCTCCTCCTCTTCAAGTCCGCGAAGAGTGTTACGTACTCCAGCGGTCCTTTGGGAGAAGGTCTGCTCTGGTGAGCTCATTTGTTGCAGTGCTTCCAGAGCTACGCTTGCCAAAGCTAGAATTGGTCATGGGCTTTGGAGCAGATAAAGCTGTGCAATTATTCCGAATCGCTCTGATCCGCCGGATTCATGAAATCTTCCTCGTCCGAGCTATGTCCATTGAAACCGGCAAACAAGCTGCTAATCCGTTTCGGTCCTTCGCATAGGAGCGTCATAATGAGACAGCGGCCCATCATCATTGTTCCCAGGATAGGTGTCATGCATATCTTCCAAAACCGGGGATGCTGCGATAGGCGGCGAGGATTGGATCTCGGACACACTGGGCTTGTTGGTCAGTCGCCTTGGGTTCCGAGGTGGCAGGTTTCCTGGTACTGGTGTGAACTGTCTAGGTTCCTCGGTGTGGTGATCAACGGACGAAACGGCTGGTGAAACAGGTCTAGAGATGAGGGCGGAGGGATGCAAGTGGGCGGGGAGCTTAGCCAGCCGCAAGTCAACCCGAATCTCATCCGTTTGCACTGCAGTCGACTGCATAGACACACGAGCAGGCATGGAGACCTGACAGCCGAAGTCCTTAGATAAGGGCGGCAGGAGTGGCTCGCATGGTGACGCAGGTCGGCTTGAGGGAGGGATAATGCTGATACTGGGGATAGTGTATGAGGGAGACTCAACACCGGGTGGCTGCAGCTGAAGAGATGGAATATCGGTTTGCGTGGAGGAAGTTACCATAGTAGATGGCGTCGCTTGGGGTGTGGGCAGTGATTCCTGGACTGGCAACTTGGGTGTTCGAGGCGGGCTAAGCGGCTCTGCCATGGTTTGCGTCGTTCCGTTCACCATCAAGTTTTGTGTGTTTGGGTGGCTTGATTGACAACGGACCCCCAAGGTGAACTCTCTTTCTTCTTCGGTTTGGCTCAGATTCAGTGTCGGTACGAGGTGGGCTATCAACATCAGATGGCCTCTCGTATAGTTGGTGAGAAAGGGTTAGGGCCGGTTGAGGAGTCGAAGGTTCGATTTGTGCAATCTTGGGAGAAGGAGGCGGCGAGTATTGGATTCCAGTATCGACGTAAGTTGGCTTCGGTGTTTGCGGCTGCAACTCCTCATCCTCCTTGATCACGGCGCCTTCCAGTCTATCGAGGGTGGACTGGTTCAGAGACAGCTTTTCCACGATTAATGCTAGCAGATCTGAGAAGGCTTTCGGTGCTTTGGTGTCGTCGGTGTGTCCTTGATGGAGAAAAGGGTATCGCGGCTTCCATTTCGCATGTGGGCGCTCTCACGGCTTGAAAACCGCACGAACGCACTGTCACGGCTCGTGGTCCGCATGTGTCCCACGGTTAGACAAGACACTCTGACGGCCTCCGTAGTCGCTTTCATCCTCGAAGTCTCCATCGAAACCAAGCTCGTCTGCCAAGGTATTGCCATTCGGCTTCATCATTGCGCTGACAGTAGAGAACCGGATGCTGTTGGTCAAGCTGAGAGTTCGAACGCTTGCGCCATCGTTTTCTTGTCCGGTTTCGCTGCCCGCCGCACTCTTAGGGCGATCAAGGCTAGCGGTTGTCTGCGCAGCTTGGAACGCAGTCACCTCATCAAGGACCACCTTCAGGCGGCTTTCCGCGACGTGAATACGGACCTCAAGCTTCCGCTTCTCCTCCTCCCACCCATCCTTTTCTTTTGTCCATTGCTGATGGACACGCTCGATATCCTCCTCCTGGTTTCGCAGTTTCTTCTGGGTGGTCTCTAGCCTCTTCTTGGTGTCGTTCGCAGATTCCACAGCCTCATCGCGCTCTTTGGCCAGTTGATCTAATGCAGAAGAGGTCCCGCCTTCCAAAAGTGCTAGTTGGCGTTTCAATGACCGGCTTTCCTTGGTAGTATTCAAAAGCGTCGTTTGCAAGGACTCGGACTCTTCTCGGGTTGTTTGCAGCGACGTCTCCAGGCCCTCGATGATTTTAAGATTCTCCTCCTGATCACGTCTCAAAGACAATATCTCCGAGACTAGACTGGCGTGAAGCGTAGGGGTAAATCTTCGTGGGTCAAGTGGGTCAAGAATGCCGATGTTGTCGTCTATGCTAATATTTTTGGATGCTCTTTTGGATCCCTTGTCGCTCCAATCGACGGGCAAAGGTGGCGGGGAGGAGCTCCCCGACCTATTCGTTGGTGTGGTGGACCGTCTGGATTTGCGCGAAGCTCGGGATTGATTTCGAGAACGGTTGCGTATCGAAGGGTTGCGGATCGGCAACGACACCACCGGGTCGGTCCCCTCATCCTCAGTTTCCCAGGCGCCCATGGTGAACTGCTTGTAATATCCTCAGTGTTGAAGAGCTGCAGTCTCGTGCAAGCAACAACCAGAACTCAGAGCATCGCCATCCCACCGTCTACTTGCAGTCGTCGTCGGCAGAGTCGTTTGTCGTCTTTCAGGTCCCGCGATAATGATTGTCCAGAGTGTTTGTTGCCTCGTGGAGACAAAAACGGAATCCAATGAATGTGAAAGGGCCAGCTCTAGAGAGACGCTTCACGGGTCAGCAGCTCTCGATCAGGGTGGCTGCTCCGGTCTATGTCACGTTGCCAGGGGGTGCATGAAGGATTAATGACCGGGCTTCGCGAAAAATCATACCTGGAAAAACAGATACCCCCACACAAGGCGAGGCGAGATGTCGTCTCTGTCAAAGATACGAACTACCGTTGCAGTTTCAAGGAGAAAGGGGGCTCAAAATCTGCCCACTGAACGTCTTCACGTGAAAATTTCCGGTGTGGTCTGTGGCTGATTTGTTAGTTTGGAAACTTGAATTTTCTTGAGAAGACACCCTCTTGCGGCTACATATTGTATGATGCCAGTCGAGAAAGAAACTTGTAACCAAGCAACATGTCTCTGACTCGGGGACAAGAACGCAAGTGCCTCCAAGCAACGAGGGTCCGGTGGAAAAAAAAGATCTCGGACCTTGAAGAGAGTTGACTTACAAAGCCCGAATAATCCGAGCAGAAGGTATATATTTGATCTCTGAAGGACCAAGAAAGGTAATCCAATCGTGTAGATCGACCAGATCGACAGAAGAGCACGGCAGTCAGTGCTGAGCAGTTAATGACGAGGGTGACTGAAGACTGTTATGACTGGCTGAACTGCCCCTGGGTCGAGACTCTTGGTCTGGTGGGTGGGTAATTTGGAAATCGGGGATTTCTGGAGTAGTCAAGGGTAGAACGTGGATTATATTTGGCACCCACAGGAAAACCCAGTCTCGTGGGTATCGACTTCCTCTGTTTCCGCCGTCCGAATCGTTTGCACTTTCCGGGCTTCTTTGAACGAGTGGAGCCCGCAAATCGGTGTGTAAATGAGATGAGATAAGTGAGCGGGTCGTTTTCGACTTCCACCTGGGGCGACTGGCAAGAACGAATGGAGTTGATGGCGGGGACGTCAAGGTGATCCGCTATCGGGGGGAAATGGCAATCGTCCAAACTCGAGGAAGGAGTGCACTTGTTTGCTCAGCTGAACAAGGACAACTTGAAGTCAAGAATGAAGGTGAAACAACCCGAATTTCGGTCGAGGTGAGGAAGCTGTAGCCAGTATCCAGTGTCCAGTCGGTCCTGCCTAGAGTCTTTCCTTTGGTCAGCGTTTCACGGGGTACTAAGGGAAGGTACTGCTGGTAATATGATAACATGGAGATTCTAGATGTTCTTGACCCCTCGATATGGTGCACAGAAAGAGGGGCTTCGGAGCCTCGTGGTTCACAACATTTAAGTAGTCCAAGTAGTGGAAGCTCGTAACTGCCCGGTAGAAGCGGAGAGAACGGGCATCGAGACGTGGAGTGACGGGTACATACCGGACGCAGATCGGAGCAAAAACAGGACTTTCTTCAACGAGAAAGCGAGCGAAGCCGACTTGGTGTTTTCCAAAGTAGTCCTTGATGAAAAATTGAAAATCCAGCACCGTTTCAAGGCCAAGCGTCTATGGCGTAAAGGAGTGGCGATTCGGCAGCAAGACCGAGACAGGTCGATGACCAAGACACAGCCCAGGCAACCTAAGAAGCGAATGTACGGGAACCGAAGGTCTGACAAGACTACCTCTAGGCTGTGAGGCAAAGCGCAATGTGTGAAGCCTTTGACAGATGCGCACCGACACAGCACTACCCGAACACAAGGAGGGACGACGGGATGTAACGGGCAGTAGTCGGAACACAGACAAGGCGCAACGTCTAGTCCACTTCAACGTCGGCGTGTGAGAGTCCAGAGTCCGGTCGAGATGGACGACGGGATGGAGAATGAAACCAGAGGAGCACAACTCGGCTGCGACCTCGAAGGGCGAAAAGAACAATGCGCACCCGGTCGCAAAGAACAAAAACTGAATCGATACAAGGTACTTAACGAGACTGTGACAAGGTCCCCAGGAGAAACCGAGCAAGAACCACTTTCCACTCGTCGTCTCTTTGGAGGCAAGGCCCTGGTCAGAGTGAGTGGAAGCACTGGATGGGCTGGTTAAGTACTTTCTACCCTAATCGAGCCTAGAGGCTTGAAGGGCAAGGTGGGAGAGTGGGAGGGTGAGGTACCGAACTGCTTGTACAGTACCCGACAGTACGAGGAAAGATCATATCAAGGGTGCCATGATTTCTCTTGTGGTGTAGGAGGGGGGAGACCCAGGAGGTGCACTCTGTGGTGCGCTAACCTCCAGAGAGATCGTGGTTGCCCCGTGGCCACCGGACCCCCCAGCCAGGCACTTCACCTCAATGAGGTCAATCTCGCTGGCGGAGGGAAGCGCCAGGCGCGCGAGAAGGCCAGAAATTGGCCATCATCACGGCTTCCCATGAGGGCATGTGCGCCGAAAGAGGTCTCAACCGAGGACACAAGCGCGACCGACATCCGATGACAGGTGGATGGGAAGGTGAAGGTCCCGTCGAGGTGAGAAAAAAAAGTTGCAGGAGGTGCCCCTGTGCAGTGTACCACACAATTTTTGGGGTTCCCCTCTCCCTCTCCGCCTCCCCCCGTTCCCTGGGCAGCAGCTCACGGACCATCGCGGTTCATATAAACAGTAGAAAGGCCGGCTCGCTAAATTTGGCGGTTGCACACCTAATCTCAACGTCTGTAACCTTGATGGAAGAATTCTTTCTGTCTCAATTCCTCGTGGTTTCTGATTCTTCATCAACTCTGTTTGGCACTTCAATATCTTCAGTCCATTGCCCCTGATACTGCACAGGTGAGACAGTATGCTACAGTGCTTGCGCAAGAGGTCATTAAATCACTGACAGGGGCCACCATGACAGCTGGAAGTAAAGGGAGCTTCCCAAGGCGTTGGTTCCTGGCTTCGGCCTCGTCTGGCCAGTGGAAGCCATGGAAACGCCAGGGAAATGGACGCCGGGAGGCCCAGCTCTGGAAGCAGCCCAGCCCTTGCCAGGAACCGATAGCCTAAAAACCCTCTGAACGGAAGCGGCTCCGTAACATCACGACGAACCCGTCTGTGCTGATGATACACATGGCGTGTTCGATGTAAACCCACGGGAAACAATATCACAAGCCGTCGTGGAATATCACGCGGGGCGCCAAGATGGGTTGTCGTTTCATCGAAAGTCCAAGGTGTCCTTCAGGATAACCTCGGTGTTTCTGGAATCCGTCCCGTTCTCGCTTCAAGAGATGATATTGACACATATTGACGCATCATCTTGCCCATCGTCACCACGCCTCGGCCGTCTCCATCACATCGGAGATGCGACCTCGCACCCTGCACCAGTGAAAGGACACAAGTGCTCGTGTGACGAGTTTATTGGCTGAAGGGCCTGGCCTACCATCACCGGAACTGAGGCTCGCCAAGCTATCCCAGGCTGAAGCTCGCCATCCAGAAATGGCTCTGCTCTACTGATGCTCCCAAAGGATCTCTGAGCACTAAACCCTTCTGGTTCCGGGCTAGCGACGGCTGCGCAAAAAGTCGATTGACCAATAAGATGCTGCCATTGCGCCAGCCAAATCTCTTTTCTGTGATGGGGCGACCGCCGATCACAAGTTCTAGCAGTGGGGAACCATCACTTTGAGCCCCTAGCTTCCTCATCACGGCAGAGCATCACGGATGAAACCCTCGATGACGGCGGCGGCGACGACAACTTTGTGCTGACCTTTGCAGGTACGCGGAGGGCAGATTTGTGCAATGGCCAATGGCACTGGAAAAGGACAGTACCGGTACGCCACGCCCGCGTCCGAGTCTCAGCCCGCGCGAACATCCGCCAAACAATTACCTATCATCCGAAAGACGACCGCCGAGCAGTTGAGACATTTATTTTGACAGATGTTGAAGATGTCGGTTGTCGTTACACAAAAACCGTCTGGGGTTACATTCCTACACCCACTCGCAGAAACATGCCGTGTCTGCGATATGATGATCCCGTCCTCACAGATAGATTCGACAGACAATCACATCTGATCGTCAACTTTCAACCTTATCACCAACATTCCTGAACCAAGGTCCAGCCTATGGGTTGGTTTTGATAGCACCTGTAGAGAGAACTAACCCCGCGTCACTGCAGCGGCCAACTGCGCCCAACATCCACCAAAAAAAGCAACAAACGTGAACCATCACGGGCCAAAATGAGAAAGGACCAGCAAATCACGGTCGTCACAGTTGGAGAAAAAACGAAGGAAATATTATTTCTTTTGCGTGTGTTGGGTTGCATGTGCGACACAGCCAACAACCTCACCTTTAGCGAATGTCCCTACAAACTTGGCTGTGCCGTTGCGGCATCCGCGGGAGATTAACGAAGGTTCCCAAGGAGAACGCCGCATACCTTACCTTTTGAGGTTTACAATCATTCCCAAGGTTCCTCATCCTCCTCGGTGTAACAGGATGCGTCCCGGTTCGCCTCGAAGCCCTTTGCATTTCCCACGGTGCGATGTGTTGCGTCTGAACTCTGGGCTGGCCTGCCTGGCCTGCCTGGCGAACCTGGACTGGGCTGGGCTGATGGGATGAACTCTGTGCTCCTTTTCAGCAATCTGAATATCTGAAGAGTGAGGAAAAGTGCATTGGCCAATCGTTCTCGAACTCTTCATGACCCCTGGGCCCTGGCACGCCTCGCTGGTTCTCTTGACAAGTTGACACAGGGCTGTCTGTCTGTCGGCTCCCGAGAAGTCTCGAACCGTTGGTGTCAAGTTGCACATGTATTTCTGACAGGTTACAAGACTCCATGTTCTCAATCAACAAACCCCCAAAACCCCATCACATCATGGGTGAATGATCATCAACCCCGTCACTCCAGCGATCATCCAAAAATCCTCCATCAGTCGCGGCGTCAGCGTGCATCACTGCAACTGCAGCGCATTGCATGCGTTAGTCCGGCACTGCTAATGCAGGTTGAAGCTTCTATGATGGGTCCTCCTGTCGCCTGTGGGCTGTACCTGCAGAGCCGAGCAAAACATTTCAGGGGTGTCGTGCAGAGGGCAACATAAATTTCCCGGGGGTTGCTACCCTACAACGCTCCATGTCTGGCTGTACGCGGACTCGCGGAGCCCCTTTTGAGGTCAACGGGTTGGGGACGTTTGAGCGAGTATGCATACTGACATGAGCACTACTCAAGACCGTTGGCGAAGGTGAGGCGAGAGGTAAGAGAACTGTGCCCATGGACGTATGAATGGAGTCGCAAAGGACGTGATGCCCCAGATGATGAACGTCTTCCAAACCTCACTGTGAAGGTCGCAAGAAAGAGGGCGATAGAATATATCAGAGGGGCTACGTTTTCTATGGAAACACATGGACAACAACTTCTGCAACGGTTTGTTTATCTGATTGATATTGTTTATCTTGGTTTTGATGCTGAATTAACTCATCAGACACTGCTTTGTTTCAGATAAAGTGCTCGACAAACACGTCTCAGGCTCCATGTTTCCAGACCTCAAAGTTTCAAGGTTCAAATAGACTTTGCGAAATCTGGAACATTTATTTAGTTTATTGACAACTCATTGGGTCACTCTGATAGTCACAAGTGCTGTGACGAATTTTGAAAAGTTTATTCCAGTCTATTCGACATCTCACATCTGAACGGCATATCTCCCGCGTCAAGGTCAGACACTAAAGAAACGCTACGTGACCCATCACCTCTCGACTCTCACCCTCAATGCGATCCCAACAGGCATACTATCATGAATATTCGAAACACTTAGCAAGGACAAGCTTCCCCGCGTTTTCTTCGTCCTGAGTTGGAAGGGGAGATTCAAGGTCTATCAAACGGCCTTAAGGCGGCTTCATGTACATGACAGTGGCGGTTAGAGAACCTGCGATATCGGAGAGCCGTTGGGTTTTCCCCCCCTGGGCAGCTTGTTGAATATCATTTCTGCCCTCTTGGGATAATGGAGCGGATTGCCCTTTGTTTAGGGGAGTATCGTTGGGTTGGGTAGACGGCGGTGAGTGTGTCAAACGGACTTTTGTTCTGCAATGTGTAAGCAAGAGTATCTGTTTCTGGCGGAGGGAGATTTGTGATCCCATCTAGACTCCTGTATTGCCACTTTTTGTATTGTTGATGTGTGCGTCTTTCACTGGAAAGAGTTGGCGGAGATTGGCGTGTGTTGTCAAGATGAAAATTAAATGTGGTCCTCTACATCAACTACTATTCTAGTTTACATGGAGACTCGTCCTTCAGAGAACAACCACATCCTTCACATTGTGAACAGTCACGAATTGATGAACCACTCCTGCTCGCCGTTGAGCGTCTAGGATGGAATTTTCTAAGGACGCTGTCTCTAGTAATGTCATCGTCGCTGTCTCAAAAATGGTATCATATGTGCGATGAACAATCTTCTGTCAGAATCAATCCCACGATGGCCCACGACGACTTCGAGATCATGTATTTCAAAATTTTTCTCTAAACCTCTAATACTCCGTCTAACGAAACCTCCCAAGAGCCTGGACCAACATTGTACAGCCAAGTGGTCTATCCCACTCCATCCCCCTAAGCCCCAGTCTGCTGCTTTGCATCCGGGCGGATATGAGGCTCGCGTGAAGGAGGCGCAGTACCGACGGTAAGGGGATACTTGTTCAAAGCTTCGAACAGCAGAATCACTGAAGCGATCTAAATTATCAACAACAATTAGCATTCGCATTTCCTTCAACGACTCGCCGGCAAAAAGCGAGTGTCTCCTCATCTCGTGTCCCCAATCCACACACTCCATCAGAACCGGGGCAGTTTAACTCACCAAAAAAGCCCAACTAGCCACAAAAGTAGCCATCCCCACCGCATACCCATACTGCGGCCCAGCATCTTGCGCAAACCCCAGCGCCCCCGTAACCGTCAAACCCAACGATCCCACCAAGCTCCAAGCACCGATATGCCACCCCAGCAGATTCGGCGCCGGGATGTACCACTTGTCTTGCACCTCCACCATGGTCAAGACCGCCGAGACGATGAAGAAGAATCCTCCGACCACCTGGGGTAGCCAGTACGACCCGTCCAACGCCCCCGTGGTCAAGTTGTTTTGGGCAAAGGGTAACCCAGTAAAACCCTCGGTCCAGAAAATGATGGCTCCGATTAGTTGCAAAAGACAAGACAGGAAACCGATCTCGTGCAAGTAGTGCGACTTGAGCTCGTCGGATGACGGCCACCACTTCCACGCGCGCGAGGGGTGTTGGTGGTTGTTGTGGCCATTGTTATCGGGTTTCTTGCTGCCGTCGGCAGAGTCATCCGAGTCCGAGCCATCGCCGTCGCTGTGAGATGCATCCGGGTCATCCTTCTTCTCGTTATGAAGGTTGTGGTCATCGGGTACCGAGACAGAGACGGGGACCACGACGGCTTTGCGCTGGTCCCTCGGGTTAGACCCCCGGAGGAGGACGTAGCGGACCTGATGGTGGTGGGTGCAGCGTGTTCCTTGGTGCTCGTGGGAGCGCAGGCGGGGACCGTCGGCGTTGCCGGCGAGGCTTTCCTCGAGGGCCCAGCCGAAGCAGTCGGCGCGGTTTTCGTTGACGGCTTCGAGCATCATCAGGACCGAGGAGATGACGATGAGGGTGCAGGTGATGAGACGGGTGGTGCCGGCGCCGGCGCCGGTCTCTTCGCCTTTGAATTCGGATTTGGGCGCGGCGAGGGGGAGGTATACGAAGAAGCCGTTGATGAGTCTTGCTATGGCGGCTGTTGGGTTATGTCAGTAACTAGTCTTCTTGTTTTTCAACTCCAGTCATTCCCATTCCCGAGCCGTAAAGGCTCTTCAAGCGGCAGTAGTCAACCATCAACCAAAACAGGAGGGAACAAACATACCAATAAAAAAAGTCAAAGCCACATCATAACTAATATCCCACCACGGAAAGCTCGTCACCATCTTCAACACACCATGCCACGTCATCCTCGACATATTCGTCGCCCTGGGCCCTTCGCCCCTAGCCTCCTCTCTTGCATCCTCCTCCTCAATCCCCTCCCCCGTCTCTTCATCCTGCAACTTTCTCCTATGTCTCCAACCACCACTGGTCCTACCACATTCCTCTCCATCATCGTTATCCTTCCCACCATCCTTATCCTTATCCTTATTCCCACCCCCCCCTTTATTACCCTTTTTCATTTTCCCCTGCTGCAAAATCCCCGGCTTCGTAACAACCGCCGCATGTCTTCCCTTCCTATTATCCCTGCTCCGCCAGATATAATACACCCCGCTATCCTTCTGTTCCTGTTCTCGCTGCTTTTGCTGCGTGGTGTTGATCGACGTCTTGCTACCATTGGCACTACCCCCCATCCCCATCCCCAGCTGGACGACCCTTCCGATCTGGCTAGGCGAGGTGTCAAGGGCGCCCGCCAGCCGCTCGGGCGAGACGGTCGCTGCGTTGGCGGCATTCTGGAGCGAACTTTGGGCGCTGAGCTGGGAATCGGTGGCTTCGAGGGCGCGGCCGATCTGGTCGGCGGATAGGGTGGGGATGTCGGTGTCCTGAGGGAGGGAGGCGACGGCTTCTTGAGTAGTGTCGTTGGTGGCGCGGTGGCCGAGGATGGAGGCGGCTTCGTTGCCGGTTAGGGAGAGCTCGTCGGAGGCCTGCTGGGATTTCTGCCTCTTTCCGGTTGTTGGATCGACTTGGGGCTCGACCTCGTTGTGGCTTGAGGGCGCGAGGACGTGGTAGCGGGCAGTTGGGTTGAAGAAGGAGAAGGCGCCGCTAGAGTAGGCGGCGTTGTAGTGCTTGGGGCCGGTGAAGTGGTTGGAGTCCTTCCGCTTGGGAGGGCGTGTTGTGTTACCCATGAATTTGATCTGTTTTCTGGATGTTTCCTTTTCTGGGGTGTAAGTTCCGGATCTCTCTCTCGTTCGTGATGATCGTAGCTTAACCTTGGCGTAAGATCAAGGTTTCTTTTCTGGGCAAAGTGTAGGGTTTGATAAAAGTCAAGATCAACATTCTCGTCTCTCTCTCTTTCTGCTGGGACACTACTATACAAATACGTCGAAGATCAGAAATATCCAAATCCCAAGAACTGTACCTACCCGTCACTGTCCGGACTAACTTCTCCGCGTCTTACCTGTAATCCTGCTTCGTAGGTCGATAAGAGATTTTGCCAGCACGCATGTAAGGAGATATATCTCCGACGTTAACGCCAAGAGATATTGAAGATTCAGCCTTGTCCAACCACTTACACACGCAACGGTCGTTTACATCAGAAGTTGGCTGGACTTCGACGATCGTTCCCACTGTTTCCCACTGTTTCCCCCGGTTTGGTGGAGCCGACTCAGCCCAGTCGAAGCAGTATTTCATCATTTGGATCGCGACCGGTCTCTTTGGTGGAGTTGTAAATCGGATGTAAATCCTAATATGGAAGGTGTTCTAGAAGGCGAAGAAAAGAAACAAGTGACAATGAAGCCGTTGATGTAGTGGAGATGCTGATAATCGCACAGGCGCATCAAGAGAACGTCGCTGATTTGTCCAGAAAGTCGCCATTTGCCGTCCGTCTGGTTCTTGCTCGCTTCAACAAGCATTCTTCGGAGAGTCTTTGCCATTGTCAAAGGGTGAAGATCAAGATGTGGCGGTCGGGTTTCAACCTGCTGTTAGCCCGATAGATCTCCGATGAACAAAGGTGTGCACAGGGCGCCGGTCCCGAAACCGCCGTGTTCCTTGTTGCTCCTTGTCATTGGTGTTTGTCGTCCAAACTAACTCAAGGGGAAGGAACGTGGTAGACGTGGTTGGGAACGAACCATCTCATCTACGCCATCGCGATCGCATCCGACCCGTGCCTGCCGTGTTCTGCCGTGATGCTGGGATTATCTTGGCCGACTGTCAAGGTGCTTGAGCACGGGAACGCTTCGGCCCCATGAATTCGGGGACCGGCCGGGTGACGTTATTCGGGCCCGAATTGAACGCTACCCCAAGGTACCTCGTGCCTACCTTAGCTATTTTGTTCCGTCATTTCTGGCAACAACGACCAACTTGCACCAACAAACGCTTCAATTGTCACTTGAAGGTTTCAGAGACTTCCCTGATGACTTTTCAATTGCATATAGATGTTCAAGTCTATATTGTACCTGACCATAAGCTGACTGAATATTTTTCGGAAACTCTTCGAGATTTTACAACCAACGACATCTAATGACGTAATTGGATAGTTGCAATCGCGCAATTGTCTCTTTACAAGAAAGATGTGCAGATGCGGGGAAGCATAGGGTAAGCGATGGCCGTATAAACGGCTGCCTCGGACCCTTGATATCATTCTCCGGTACCCCCCTCTTGGACTACCGAACAAACAAACAGCAAAAACCACTTTGTTTGTTTGGTATCATTCCTCCCTTACCTTTGTCTGAGACTCGGATCTTGCACCCTTGTGATCATTGTATCCCAACTTACCTCTACAAGCCACTTACCTACTTACCTCGACTCACCTTTCTCTCCCTGCATCGTACCCCTATACCCGAATCATGCCCGCTACTCATCAAGTCCCTCCCTGGGCAACCGAGATCAAAGCACTCACCTTTGATGTCTTCGGCACCAGCGTAGCTTGGCGGGAAAAGATAGTCTCCGCCCTCGCTTCGGCCACACAGTCCAAGCTTTCTTCCGCCTCTGCCTCCAACTCCACGTCATCGGAGACGCCACCGTCCGAGCAAGTCCTCTCCCGCGCCCGCTCACTCACCCGAGACGACTGGGCCGTTTCGCCCAGGAATGGCGCCGGGCCTACGCGGACTGGACCCGCTCCTTCGTTCCCGACGAGACGCCTTGGAGGGACATCGACACCTTCCACCACGAGAGTCTCGTCGACCTGCTGACCAAGTGGCAGCTGGACGGCCTCTTCACCCCGTCCGAGGTCGAGAAGCTCAGCCTGACGTGGCACGACCTCCCGCCCTGGCCCGATACCATCCGGGGTCTGCAGCTTCTCGGCTCCCGATACCACACGGTCGCCTTGTCCAACGCCAATCAGGCTATCCTCAAGGATCTGAACAGCCAGAAGGGCGTTGATGGCAGTTCGCCGCTGGGGTTCCAACGCTTGCTCTCGTGCGACATGTACCAGGCGTACAAGCCGAACCCGAAGGTGTACCAGGGCACGCTGCGGGACCTGGATCTGCAGCCGGGAGAGGTAGCGATGGTGGCGGCGCACTTGGGTGACTTGGAGGCTGCTAAGAAGGAGGGGCTGCGGGCCATCTATGTTGCGCGGCCGGGCGAGCTGGAATTTGACGCTGATGAGGACAAATTCAAGAAGGCCAAAGAGTGGGTGGATCTCTGGGTTGAGGAAGGCGAAGGAGGCATGGTGGAGGCGGCAAGAAGGTTGGGCATCAACGTCGACATCGATGTTGGCGATGTGGCCGGAGTCCTAGGCTGAATGAGTGAGCCTGTGAGCCAGCCTGTCGTCCTGATCCAGACCATCGTCCTGATCAGACCATGTCGTCGGCAATCTGCGCTCTCAGCCTTCGAGAAGGAAATGGCGCTTCCGCTTGCCTTCCCTCGGGATTCGGGACCCGGATCGGGATGCTACCCTCTCGGCGATGGTTTAGTAAATTCAGGGGCGGCCGGTCGGGTCAAAGTTTTCATGGCATCTCGGATAGACTGTTTAGGATGCGTGTGATATCCCTTTCCCCCTGCCGTTTAATCACCCAAAGGAACGGAACCCGGCGGAGAAGTGTCGCGGACAGAACTCGGGGCCAGGACCGAAGAGGGAAGAAGGCATGGAAGGTTCGGTTGATGCGTTGATTCAGAAATCGGCTATGCTGAAGATGGCTGTTTCGTGAGGGTCTTTTACCGTGTCCTTGTCCCTTCGAGAAAAAAAAATTGAAATTGCGATGGATGCCACGAGCCTGCTAGCGAACCCGCCGATACGGAACCTAATTCGGCGTACTCGGCGCGGCAGTGATGAGCATGGAGCAGCAGTAATATTGATTTTCTCGGACCGGTCCCCCGGAGCCCTCCCCCCTGCCGACCCCCCTGGCCGGAGCCTAATGTCCCTGCCGCCTAAATCGACTGTGTTGGATTCTTAGCCGACTGTGTGGAACCCGTCTGGCCAATGGCATAACCATGTTGCCGCCCGCCAAATCTTCACTAAAGTGATATGTGTATAACATCTATATGAAAAGCTGTCAGGAATTATATAAACGAGGCATTTTAATATACTAATTTATATAGGAAGGTGGTGAAATTGTAGAGTTTATATTATTACTAGTATATATAGATCTATTAGTATTAATAGTACTAGTTCGATTGGGATTGGTATTATTACTAGTATAGCTAGTAAGATTGCTACTGGCTAGACGGCGGCGGTTAGTAAGGGTTCAAATATAGCTGCTGTGAAGAAAGGGACATCGCTTAATATTGCTAGTGATATTGTTGAAAAGAAGGTGGGGGTATTATCCTTTAATGTGAAGCTATTACTATAAACGCCGTCGATTATTAGTATCCCTAGTATCCTTGTGGCCGTAGTTATTGGAACTCCCGTAGTCGTACCTCTAATTATACTTCGCATTACTATAATTCTTATATCTTATAGAATTATATTTATAGCTGTACAGTTTCTTACTTCGCATATTCTACTTCAACCTTTGCCTCTTACTCTCTCTAATTAACTAATATTACCGTAGTTATTTTCTTCTTCTTTAGCGGAGGTTATAAGGCTTTGGGAGGAGTATTATAAGACGGATTATATTGTATACTACCGCCCCCTCTAATTGCTAGTTGATGGGCTGTATTAGGGAGAAGTTGGGGGCCATTTTTAGGAGCCCGCTAGCGGTTAATAATAATTGGCCGGGGATTAACCTTACGTCGAAGTGCCAGGAAGTTAATTATCAACGGCTAGTCTAATTTTAATTACTAATGTTAATTAACTATTTCTTACTATATAGATCCCCTCGCTTTAACGAGAGCTACTAAATTATACCAGTAGGGCAAACTATATTATTATATAAAGTATATAGTATATTTCTTTTTAGCCTCCTCTATAAATCTTACTAAGCTTATATTCTTATATTACTCCTTTAAATTAAACGCTATTACTATAGTAACTTATTTATTTAGTAATTTAAGCGTATTGAAGCTAATAATAAATTTAAAATTATTTAATTCTCTAAGGTATTAAATAATACGTTTAAAGATTTATATTATATATTTATCCTTAAAGCTAGCCTATAATCAATTAAATATTATTTCAATAATAGTTAATAACTCATCGAAATTAATATAGCGGTTCTTAAGCAATACTTTTAATATTCTATATTAGCTTTCTATATAGGAGGTTATACGGATACTATAATTGTAGTACAATTTTATAATAAAATAAGCAAATTCATTATATAAGGGGAAGTAAATCTTACGTGTGATAGCATTTGTGGGATGCATCTATCATTACAACTATATAAGACCACTTGAGCGACCGAATTGCCAGCTTTGGTTACTTGTACCCTTTTGCGGGGACACGGGCTGGTTAGTGTAGTGGTCTGCCACCACCGTGACATTTAACCGAAGCTAAAAGGCTACGAGTTCGAACCTCGTAGTTGGAAAAACTTTCGGGTTTTTCGGGCACCCTTATATAGGTTCCCCTAAGGATGGAACACCGTAGATCAGTATGGATGCCTGTCGTAGTAAGCGAAGTGCACACTGACGGTGCCGCCTTAATTGAGAGTTCCCAACTTGATTCGATCGGCTTCCTAGGAAGACCGCTGGCGTGGCGATCCGGAAGGGGGGTCGAGGTTCGGGACGAACCTCTCAATGTAAGGGGGGGAATGTGATGGCATTTGTGGGATGCATCTGTCATTACAACTATATAAGACCACTTGAGCGACCGAATTGCCAGCTTCGGTTACTTGTACCCTTTTGCGGGGACACGGGCTGGTTAGTGTAGTGGTCTGCTACCACCGTGACATTATGGAGGCAATTAATTATTTTTATAAAATATTTAATTAATAATATTAATAATAAGAGGAGGGGAGAGGAGGGGAGAGGAGGGGAGAGAAGAGGAGGCGGGATTCTTACCCTACTACTTAAGGAATTTTACTAATAATACCCTCTATTATATTTAAAGATTTTACTTAGAATTCGCCTATATTATAAAGGTCCAAACTATTAGTATACTATTAACGTTATCAATTTACGTACGGTTTGAGCCTTTTGGTGCCCGCCTAATTAACTACTAGAGATAAGTATTCTTGGCGGAATTTTTTAAATACTGAGCGCAGTCTTCGTCGTTAAGAAGTTTGGAAGTAACTTAACGGGAGATATAATTTTAATTGGCCGGATTAATATTTATCCGAAATTCGTTACGTAGATAGCTACTATTACTATTTTGATTCCTTAGTGCTATACCTTCGAATGTACCCTCCTATTTCTTTTTAACGTTAAAAATAACGTTTTTTATTATATACTAAAAATAGATCTAGTATTAGGTAGTAGCAAAGATAGCGCGGCAAGCCTTTTTATATACTTTATTATAATTTATAACGATAACTTTTAGTATAGGAATATTATAATCGGTTAATAATTTACTTAATTATTCTAAAATTTATATAAAGTATACTTCCTTTTTATTAAATAGAAGGTAATACTTTATATTAAAAGTAATATATAACGTAATAATACTATATATCTATAAGAAAGGTATATTATATTTATTAACTTTGTAAGTACAATTTAAATTCTATATTTTTAAATTCTTCTTTAATTAATCAACATATTATAAATAAATTTAGAAAATTTTCTCTATAAGTCTTTAATTACTACTACCCTTACAAAAGATTTCGCTAACTACACTAAGTATTGTAATTAAAATATTAAAGAATTATTATATTAGAATAAAGATACTAACTACTTTTACTTTTTTATTAATTAATACGTTTTATATATTTTTACATATAATTTTAATATTAGGGAATTTTAATTTAATAGCGGAAATAATATTTAAATTAAACGTTTTTAGTTATTTAATTAGCTTGATAATATTAGAAATAATTTTATTTATACGCTAGAAACGGCATTAGGCAAGTAAATAGGCAGCGGTCGAAGAATTAAAGGTATAATTATAGTTAGAAACTATAAAAGTAAATTACTAAACGCCTATTTTATTAGTAAGAACTACTTTAACCTTCTAATTATAATTCTCCTTTGCGTTCGCTATTATAATCTTTTTCTTTACTATAACCGTTAAACTACTCTTACTGCTACGCGCCGCTCCCTTAATATATTCTAAATTATATTATATTTATTTATCTTCGCGGTAATTATTTACCTTCTTCATAATAATATTAAACCCGACGTAAACTAGAATTTCGCTTATATCCTTTATTAACGCGTCAATATCTTTCTATTTCCTCTTTATAAGGGCTTAGAGAGAGGATTCTACTATTTTATCTTCTATTTGCTTAGGATTAGACGCGACTAAAAGGGATAGGGATCGCTTTTTTTACTTAATAAATTTATTAACGTCGAAAAATTTATCCCAGCGGTCTTTAAAGTATTTAACTTTTTGTATATAGAGGAGTTCGAGCGAAGAGGTGGGGTTGGGGGTGCGCGCGGGCGCCTTTAGCTAGGAATTAGTAAGGTCAATAATTTTAGGTATTTATATAGTAGTTAGTTACTTCCTTTTAAGAGCCTTAATACTATAATTTACTTTGGCAATATTAATTCAATTACTTGCTAATTCGTATATACACCAGTAATACGAGTATTTATACTATATTACTTTAGTATAAATTTTGCGGGCACCAATATACAATAAATATACGTATTCCCTAGCCTGTGGTTGGTTGGGGGCGCTCCACACAGTCGGCTAAGAATGGTACATAGTCGATTTAGGCGGGCCGCTAGTGTCAGACCGCCAGGTCCCAAACCAGGGGATCGGATAGAGAATCATAACCCAATGTCCAATCGCGGAACTACGCTTATGAAGCCGGCCATGTCAAGAGCGGAACTTCCATGCGTTGCTGAGGCTCGGCACCCCTGACCATAACCTGACCGTAAATGGGTAATCAATTTTCCAATTTTCTTTTCTTTTCGTCGCCGACTCGTCCCAACAGCTCGAGCTCGCTCCAAGGTCGGCTATTGTCATTGGACCCAGTATTGAATCGAAGTTTCAGGAAATGAGTGGGCTCGACAGGAGATACTGTGGAACAAAGTGAGTCTTTTTTTTTGTGTTTCGCCTGTTAGCGATTTGATCACTTGATCAAAAACTGTGGCGGTTGTCTCAACAACAAAGGGATTTGTTCGACCTGATGGGGCGCCCTGATGAGGTCAGTAGTTTATCGGTTAACGAGGCGAACGAGGTTACTTTCCTCATTTTGTTGCCAACTGTCCCATCTATGCCTCTTTAGCACGTAGGAGGCGTCGCGGCGTCTCGGTATCCAAGCTTGTCCAGGGGCCACTAACGAGGAAAGAAACAAAGTAATTCGTTTGTAAGTCGTTCGCAACGTTGGCTGTCGCCGTCCTATATCACCGAACGGGACTTGAATTGCGCGATGGACCCGAGTCTTCGGCCGGGGTACCCGGTGTAGACATTGAGGAACTGACTTGAAAGAACCAGGGTGTCGGCGTGGTTGTTTTGTTTTGGGCCACTGATGGAGGCTCAAAGACGGCTAAAGTGGGAACAACCACCAAAAATGTGTGGGTTGGAGGTTGGTTTAGCGAAGCGAGGGAGGCGTGGGAGGGGACAAAGTCGGGTGTTTCTGTCTTTGTTCCGGGCCTGTCGTCCACGCAGCATGGCGGCCATGACTTTGACTTCGACATCTGGTGTCGCGTAACGGACTTTTCTCGCCTAGAGAGATCCCACCTCAAGAATGGCCATAGCCCATGCCCATCCGGGAGGCTCCATAGGGTCATCCTATCTCCGTCCGGGAAGAGCACCCAGAATCGCGAAAACGGGTTTGTCTGATGGATATGATGTCCACCGGACTGCGTGGCCTGCTAGGTCTTGAATCTCGATATGGCGGTGCCAAGCTGTTAAGAATCGCTCCAGTCAGTCGCTGCTCCGAATGCCAGACTTTCTAAAACAGATGTAAGGCTGTTGTGTGACACGCTAGGGTAGGGAGACATTCTCCTGGAGATCAATGTTGGGAAGTGAATGGAGGCGCCTCCCAGCGTTGACAATGGGTTGGGAACCCACATGATGAAGATCAAATGCACATCAATTGGGCTTTGCAACGGTTCGGAGAGGGGAAAAGAGGATGACGAGTCGACGAGGTTGGGGTTGTTTTTTCAACGGCGGGGTCCATCATGCAAAACAGGAAAGGCAGATCACGATGCCTTTCACAGCGGAAGGACCTCCGGTTGATGGGCTTCCAGTCAGCATGACCAGCAGACCATTAGCTCAATCAAGACAAAGGTCAAAACAACCCCTCGTTGGCTTGAAAAATGTGCCTGACTGGAGACATTCCATCGAGGGGAAGGGACGAGCCTAGGGAGGGGAAGTGGTACAAGTCGAGATACCTAGCCGATACCGATAGGCGATAAGCAACAACACACCTTCCCGCCTCCCGGTAGGTCGTCGAGGACGAGGAAGGTGCTGACCCGGAACCTCATGCATGTAGCCGGTCTGGAGGGTATCCGATGCTTTGGACACTTGGCCGGGGCCGCTGCGGCCACCATGCAACAAAGTCCACCTCTCACGCGTTTTCGGGGTCCTCTCGCTTCAACTTCCCTCGCAGTTGCCCCTCCTTTTTGCTGATGGAGGTGGAGGGAGGGGCAGGGGACGGGAATGGGGTCAAAAAAAGTGTTGAAGCAAGCAGGAAAAGACGGTAGGGCAGGGACTTGGATCAAAAGGATTACTGAATGAAGAGTCAAGAAAACAGATCTGACAAGCAAGCCTATTACAGCAACTGCGAGCTCGGGCCGGGGTTCAAGAGGCTTGGGAATGATGCGAGACGCATTTCGTGTCGTAGTCAACCTCTCCGTCTCGGAAGCTTCAATACCGTTGGCTCCCGTCCTTGCACAGCACTCAGTTATTTTGGGGGTCCTGACCGGCACCCGCTCCGGGGGCGGTTTGGGTAGTTGGGTGCCGAGCGTCACGCCTTTTTAGCCTCGCCCACTGGCAGTTGTCTTGCATCTCCCCCGCCGTCACCCGCCATTTGTCTTTCAGAAAAAGTGCCAGTGCAGTTGAGCGGGTATCAAGTGATCGTGGTGGCATGAGGCGCTTCCCCGGACCAAGAAAACCAAAGTGACAGATGACCCCGTCCCGCCCTACCGCAAGTCTTTGCCACTCGGGCCCGGATACCGGTATCGTCAGCCGTACTATCGTGGTCGTATCGTGGTTCCGCGTCGTGGTTGGCACCCCCGTACAGCGTAGCAAATCAAGGCGCCAAGCCAAAACCGACAGTAACGGGGAACGGGGTCATTTCGCATTTACGGATCCAACAAGACGGATTTTGCCGCTGCGTAATCAATGAGGGATCCGTCGTATGATCAGGGTCAAGGTCTGGCCGTCGGGAGGAGACCGGCTTGGGATCTCAAAAGGCAGGCCCCGTCTTGAACTTCCCGTTCTGTCAAAGACTCCTTCAAAAAGCGATTGTGATGGCAGTTGAGCCCGAGGAAGGACGGAGGCAAAGACGAGCAGAGTAGCAGAGCAAAAGAGGAGGTCAAGGAGGGGAAGAGCCGTGCGTGCGTCCAAGGTTGTGCTTGTGTCTCCGTGTGTCCGTGTCCCTAGTCCGTACTATGTCGACTGGGTGTTGAAAAGAAAAGATATGCAAAAGATATGGCCTGTGTCGCCAACGGATCAGATCCCGTGGTTCGGGTCACAGAAAGGTTGTCCAAAGGTTGAGCAGCTGTATGGCCCCAGATTCGCCCAAGCCCAGGCAATAGACGGGAAGCTGCTTACACTGCGTGTACTGTCACCACTGCGAACCCAGATTGGCTGCGCTTGCTCAATGTGGGATAAGTTTGCGAGTGGACGGAGGAGCGAATGGAGCGGACCAAAGGCGCCATGGGAACGGTGCTCCATGTCCCGCAAGCGCCGTTCTCGCAGAGTGGACAGCTCTGCCAGCCAACGAGCCAGCCTTTGCCGCATTCTCAATGGATGGCCAACTCGCTCTATCAACCTTACCTGCGTTACCAATGCAGCTGTCCTACATGAGCACGCTTTTTGTCTACTGTTATGATTGTCAGGGCAGACGACGGGAGTCTTGACCCAAATGGGAGTAGTTAGCCCCTAAGTAATCAAGAGAACTGTCGAGACCCAAAGAGCTCGAGACGGGCGGACTATAAAATCATTAAACAGGAGGAGCTGTGGGACCGAGGACACCCTAAAAGTTCACAGGCTACCTTACCAGTGGGCAGATCGCTTGGGTCACGGTTGCAGCAAGCCATGCATGTGAGGTGTGTACATATCTAAGGGATGTGTGTGTATGGTGTATGTATGTGATTTCAAGCACGGCAACGGGAGTGAGTGCCATTGAGGAGGCTCCGAGGGTCATGATCATGTTCGAGTTTTACTGGGAAGAGGACTGCAACTTTCTTTTTGTCCAGACCAATCACCTGGTCAGATGCCGGTCTGGAGAGATAAAGATAGGTCGAAAGTGTTTGCCTGGCACGAGTTCTCAGGACCATCCCACCGGCGTCATGACGGTACGGTAGTCAAAGTTGACATCGGGGACGAGGTCATAGTCAACTTGAACACCAAAATCAAAAACAAGTCGAAGACTGTTTGAAGGGGTTATCTGTCAAATGGAGCTATGCTTGTAGGCATGCTAAAAGTCACGTTTTGGCTAAGGGCGCCTCGGCTTCGCGGTGATACCGGTGTCTCTCGCCCATTAATTCGGGCAGGCATCGAGGTAGGTACACTGCCATCGTGACAGCCCCAAGACCCGACGGAATTCTTGACATCTCCCATCCCGATCTGATCCTCCTTCCGCCGGCTCTGCCTCCGAGTCTGTTTCGACAAACCACTGCACTAAATAAGCGAAACTCTTAACATTACCTCTTTTATTATTACCTTACCCCCGTCGGCCGAGGATCCAGATCCATTGCTGGAAAATCCCAAAGCTTATTGGAGGGGGATCCGTAGGGGCCGCTGGGACCACATTGCAGAGGGGAGGTACCTGTCGGGCCAGGTACTGGACATCCAGTGATGAGCCCATGCTGCCAGACTGTAGGAACCTGGAAGGCCAGAGCCGCCCACCTGTTGAGCGGTCCCCACAATAAACACCCATTCTCCACGGGCCCATCCAACGCTTACCCGCTAGTCGAGCCTCCCCATTGGTCAAATCGCTCTCCTCCAATCCACTCTGGGTCCTGCTACCCATCCACTCCATGCTGGCCAGCCAGACCTGTCGTGCCAAGAGGTGAAAGTTGTACCTTTGGGAAGTATCGTCGCTACCGGGCAGGTACTGCACAGACCTACCACGGCCTGCGACCTCACACGCCCGCGAGTCCGCCCGGTGGACACCCGTACTCCCCAACCACACTACATACTGTAGCACTGCCAACCACTGGCAGCCATTCAACCCCCCCCCGGCTGCTCTTCTTCTTATCATTCTTCTCCCTCACATCATTCTTTCCCCCCCCAATCCATAACCTCAACCTCAACCATCCAGGACGACCATCACGACGACGACGTGACGATCACTCTTCAAATCTCCGCCGCCCTTCTCAGTCGCTGAACGCCTGTTCCAATTGCCACTCCTTCGTGGCTGCGCCTGTTTGAGCTTCTCTCTGCAACCACGCAACAACACTACCTCTACTCCTCACTACTACCACCACCTAGTACTACTACTACGACTTTCCGCATTCCACCACATTCCGACTCGCGGCGAAGCCCCGGCTCTCACTGCTCTTCTCCCCTGATTCATATCTGTCGTCCGCGCCTCATCCAAGCTTTCCTTGGTGCTGCTCCAGCTTCCTCGACATTTGGACATCCGCGAAAGTACGACAGCAAGACTCCATCATGGTGGGGAACAAACAGGTGTTATACAAGTTGGTGGTGCTCGGTGACGGAGGCGTGGGGAAGACTGCCTTGACCATCCAGCTCTGCTTGGAGCACTTCGTCGAAACCGTGAGTCTGCTCTTCTCATAACCGTCTCCCTTCGCGCTGATCATCTGCCTACGCAATTGCATATCCCTGCATTGCTCACGTCCCTCCCTGGCTGGCTGGCTGGCCAACAAGCCGCCTACCTGCATTCCCAGCTTATCGCTAACCTCGACGATTTAGTATGATCCCACTATCGAGGACTCCTACAGGAAACAGGTCGTCATTGACGGCCAGGCATGCATGCTAGAGGTTCTGGACACAGCAGGACAGGAAGAGTACACGGCACTACGAGACCAGTGGATCCGAGATGGCGAGGGCTTCGTGCTAGTATACAGCATCTCATCACGCTCCTCCTTCTCGCGCATCAAGAAGTTCCACCACCAGATTCAAAGAGTCAAGGAGTCAACCTCGTCGCCGTCAGCGTATCCAGGAGCATCACCTCTCGCCGCTACCAACCCGTCCGCGCCCGTGCCGATCATGCTAGTGGGCAACAAGAGCGACCGCGTAACGGAGCGCGAAGTCTCTACACAAGAAGGACACGCTTTGGCGCGAGAGCTTGGCTGCGAGTTCACCGAAGCGTCGGCAAAGACACGCACAAATGTTGAAAAGGCCTTTTACGACGTCGTCAAGCAGCTGCGAAAACAGCGACAGCAAGGACAATCAGCACCGCGCATGCTACCGCCATCAGGGAACAGCAAGAGCGAAAAGTACAGTGGGACAGAAAAGCCCAAGCGTCCCCGTGGAAAGTGTTTGATTATATGAGCGCTTTCGCAATGGGTGTTGGGTCTTTTGCCAGGTACTGATGAAACAATGTCGCACTTCCTGCCTTGCTTCCCCTTCCGGGGCCCCAGAGGGGCGGCCGCGGCCCACACAGAGCCAGACCCCGTTTTTCCCTCCCCCAGTTCTTGGCGCAAAATGCGTCGGGCGATGCGCGAATATCCCCGACCCGGGACTCCGGATATGTCCCAACACGTACGGCCGGCACATCAACTCGGGTGTTCTCGTCACATACTAGCACTCATTTGGGCTCGTATCCGAACGACAACTCATTACTGAAAAAAAAAGACATGGCGATTTCTTGCGCATATACCACAACCACCCACACACTCGCATACGCTCCATACATTTCAGACTTTCTCATCACACATGACACAAACGACGTAACCGAATTCTCCAGATGGCGAATGGCGCACGATTTAAAAGAGGGCATCCGATTTGGCGGGAGGTGGGAAATGGGGGAAAGGGCGTAAATATCATATTCACTTCTGTTTCTTTCTCGTTTAATTTCTCGGCCAGGTAGTTGGAGAAAGTGTGTTTTCTGGTTTTACTCTTTCCCTCCTTTGTTTTCACACATGTTTTATCTTCTTTATTTTCTTTTGTTCGGGTTTTCACAAGGCCACCGATTTTCGTGGAGGGGTGGTTTCTTTGGAGTTTGGGGGGGCAACAACACAGAAGGAACTGCATATCCCCATCCTAAACGGAAAGTTGGCGACTAGATATACCGGTCTTGGGCATTTGGGAGGGGGAAGCGATATCATCCAGAGTCTGGTTGGCCCTGGGCTGGGCCGTTCTCAGCGAGAAGACGGCGGCAAGGGCACCAAAGGAGAGGGATAGGCTGGAAAGTGCTATGCGCAAGGACGCAGCGGGGATTATGGTATGCCATCTGGATGCGCCAACGGGTGTAGATGGCAAAGAGGCTCTGCCAAAGGGTGGCCATGATGGAGACAGAGCAAGGGCGTGTATTTTGGAAATCATGGAATGATTCCATTACCTAGCTTGATACCTTTTTAGCTCAGTATTGCAGATGCTGTGAACCTCAGCTTTGTCCCAAGTGTCCAAAGAGAAGCTGTTTGAGTTCATTAGTCGATACCCGAGCGGTCTTTTGAATGCAATGTGTGTTTTCGATCTCAGCTGTTGCATGCACACCGTCTTATTCTATGGGAGTTGGTGATTGGGTCGTTGACATAACAACGGTGGTATCAACTTGGTCATGTACGGGGATAGCAGAGCTACACCAAAGACCACTACAGCTGAAAGTTGCGGGGTGGTGGGACAGCCAACGAGCCACAAGATGAGTATCTCGGACACAGACCTTCTACGAACACGCTGTACGATTGCCTGGGTATCCCAAGCAGAACGTAGTAACTGTCCTCCCCTTTTGAAATCGTTAGTTATCTATCATCCTAAGTTTCGTAGCTCTTATTCATCTCGTAACTATCTGGTAACCTCGAACTCCGCATGTTTATACGTACATACATATGTACATGTATAAAGCCCCGCGCGGCGCGGTCTACGCGGTTTACGGGCGGGTACGTACTTACCATCCGGTCACTGATCTTCACTTCGCATTTGTTAGCTGAATATCAATGGCGGCTGTCACAGCTGCATAGCTAGATAGCCAAATAAGTCCGTCATCATGACTACCTCAAAACAAAAACCAAGGCAGGTAGATCATTACGCCTTTATAAAGAAAGTTCTGACTAAACTAACCCTCCCCCGTTTGTCTAACAACTAGAGTACCTTACCTCTAGACAGACTGCTTGATATCTTTGACCGAGATATGTATGGACATACATACATACATATGTAAAAACATTTAGCCAAGGCGGCTCGATACTCCCAAAATGTCGGCCGTGATGCCAAGTGCTTGCATGACTGCCGCTTCCTGAAATAGCTTGTTGCTACTGCAGGACAATTTACAGGCAAGCAGGCAGGTATGACGGCGGCGGCGGCGGTATCGGGACGACGCGGGACAGTTAGGACCACCCGCTGCAACCATTTTTTTTTTTCAAGTGAGCAATTGGATTTTTGTTTGCCCATCATCTATACTTACTTATCTACATATCGGCACTCTATACAAGTACGTCCATCCGCACTGCCGCCTCAAAAAAGATACGACACGAAATGCGCTTGTCACGGCACGGCGGGAGCGCCCCGGGAGAGAGAAAAGAACGAAAGCGAAAGCGGACCTACAAGTATACAGATGTGATGTGATGGACAGACCAAGACAAGATCAAGATCAAGATCAAGGAACGAACATGGGCAGGGTCGTGAGAATGGTGAGACGGATTAAGACGGATTGGACAGACGGACGGGGTGGGTGAGACCGGAGCGAAGAGCGGGAGTGACCGAACGCTCCGCGCCGCCGCCGCCGCCGCTGCCGCCGCTATTATGGAGCCCCATGGTTATGGACCATGGACCAGCATGGGGAAGCAATGGTGAGGCCATGCTTGGTGATGAGCATAATGAGCAATGATGGACATGGCTCAAAGCGCAAAATGCCATGGATAAAATGCCCCCCCTGAATGCCTCCGGATGCCGTCCGTTTGGATCATCTGTGGAGGGTGTCTTGGTATGTGTGGGTGAATTGGTTGAATGGGGAATTTTCTTTGGATGCTTGTTGGTTGGTTGGTTGAAGAGAAATGTTGTCGACGTCGTCAGCACGCTACTGTACGCATCACAGACATAACACACCCAACCCGGCTTTTTTGGAGGGCTTGGATGCGATTGGATTTCCACACGCAGGGTCGATCAAACGACGTTCAATCCAACAGAGAGATGAGAGACGACAGACCAATGGGTACACATCCGGCTCGTGGAGAGTTTCCGTTAGGGGTGGGTGGTAAGGTAATATCGAGGACTGAATCCGAGGACTGAATCTCAAAACCGAAGATGCGACACAACCGGGCCGTTAGAGCTTTTTTTTTTTCCTTGATGCAACTACATATCACAATATCATTGCTAACAACCACCCTGTTTAGGTACGTATAGGGCAACCATCCATAGCATCCGGTCATATGCTATGTCTTAACACTTCTACCTATTCCCGCCGCGCCATCGCTCCGAACAGCTTTAAAGTGGACCAAACGTCCCGCATAAAAGGGTAGCATCGCGACAAGGGCATCAAAAAGGAAAGTGGAAAGAACAAGAAGGGAAAAAAAAAAAAAAAAAAAAAAAGCTGTTTGAGGCGGATTACCGAACTGACGTGATTGACAGCTGACGTGTCCGGCGATTGCATTCCTTCTTTCTCGACAAGGAAAACAAGACCGAAGCCGAACGCTCCCCGGAATTTGCTGACCTTCTCATCACACACGACGCAGGACGCACATGTGGGATGTGGGATGGGATGTTGGACGTGATGAGTTGAGGCACCTCGCTGACGCTCCCACCTAACAAGCACCCCCGTTCGGGGGACCGGAAGGGGACCCATCTTTCAACCCCTTCCCATGCCATCATCTCACCATCACCACGTTCCACGTTGGGCACATACTACAGGTACTATCCCACGTTGGCTTACTTTTTTGTATCAGAAAAAGCGGTCCGACGCGGTCCGCTTTGGCGGTTTGAAGAAAATTTTTCTTCTCTAGGCAGCTCCTGAAGGAGGCTATCTCGTTCGCCCTGTCTGTCCCCCATTCCCGTCGTTCTCGATGAGTCCCGGCCTCCACCACCACCACCACCCTCACATGTCTGTGCGCTTGCGTTCACCGGTGAAGCCAGGGCTCTCAATCGCTCACGAAAAGAGCTGGCGGGTTAGCGGGTCGCGGGGGGGCCCTATTCTCTCTCAAGTGCCAACGGTTTCGGTTTCCTGGATCTCCTCCGCCGGCTAAAAAGCACGAGGGACAACTTCTGGCAAAAGGGAGGACACACCCGATCGGATGGCTTTTGTGGTTGGCAATTCGAACGTTCAACAAGTGTGTCCCGCCGTTCAACCAACAGCAGAAATTCCCGTTTGTGCCAGAGACGGGTTAGAGGGCCTATCTTCCATCTTGATCTTTTCTTGGCTCTTTGGCTAGGCCAACCTTTACCCGTGGACATAGGGTGGCTTTTTCACCCATCCCCACTCTCCTATTACCTTACTCACTCTCCTTCTGTCTCTCACGAAACTCGGTTCTACATCACCGAAAGTACGCCGAAGGAGTTCACACACACCCCCGTTATACTTGGGTTAGGTTGGGCTGGCTGAGTAGCTAGTAGCTGGGTTGGGGCCATCCCCTGTGAAATGATGGAACAGGGAGACACATCCACAACCCACCCACCTCCTTTCCGCTAGCTCGTGAGAAATAAGTGCGGAATGAGGCCCGCTCCGTCTCATTCACTGCTTCTCATTAGTGCCCGGAGAAAGCCCCGGTGGAGATGAGTTGGGATGTGAAGGGGGAAAGAAAGACGAGGGTTCCGTTTGAAGAGAAGAAAGAGAAAATCACGCTAGGATACATCTCTGGCCCGCACCATTTCGACGGCCGGCCCAGCAGTGTTGAAGACAGCTCGCTACCCAACACTAGTGTACCGAAAAGCCAAGCCAAAGCCGAGCCGACTTACTAAGCGGGTAAAGCTGCCAAAAGGACGACACAGGGGGGGCCACAGACTCGAAGGATCTGATAAGACCAAACCCAGAACGTCCAAAATGTCGTGACAGAGACCCATAACGAGCACGAAATTCGCGATGCATAACCTCAAAGTCTCGTGATCGTCACCATCAGTCGGACAAAAAAATATTCTCATCGATAAGGGGCGCCATCTTACCTAGACTCACCCCTGAACAAGAGAGCGCGAGCTGTTTACCATACTACCGGAATGTGGAAGGTAGTGAGCAAGCGAACGAAACACAACGGCATCTCACCATTCATAGAATGGTTCCCACCCCTTACCACTCGCTATCTCAAGAGACAACGCCCGCATTCTCGACGGCAATCATCATATGAAAATGCGAACAGATCCTAGGGGAGGTTTTGGGCTCTCTCCATGCGCTCTCAAGGATTATCAGATACGCGACGGCTGAGCAGTTGGTAGAGACTGTGAGGAGAACCCTGGGTTAAGCTGTTACTAGTCGATATTTAGTCTTCAACCCTTCCCCAGGGCTCTTTCTTCCAGCCGCTCGGGACACCCAATGAGACTCCAACAGTCCACTAACTAAGGTCTTGGGAGCTGAGCTGAGTCCTAATCATGTACCACTA